GACCTAGAACCATTCACTCCTTTGGCTAACCTAGAACATCTCCTGGCAGGTCTGGGCTGGGCGTTGGTCTTCACCCCTTCCCTGGGGGCCGTGAGCCGCTATTTCCCAACGCGCCGCGCAATGGCCACCGGTTTGGCCATGGCAGGTGCCAGCGTCGTGGGACTGGCCCTGGGGCCACTCATCCCACTCCTGCTGGATGCCTACGGCTGGCGGGGGTCTCTGCTCCTCTTGGCTGCCCTCTCCTTTAACCTGATGGTGGCCGGCGCCTTGCTCCGCCCCTTGGATGTCCCCATCGAGTCCCCACGGCCACCACCACCACGTGGCCAAGCTGGGTTGCGTGGATTGCTCCATCACGGCCCCTTCCTCCGCTACGCCTTGGCTTTCGTGCTGGTAGATGCTGGCTACTACGTGCCCCACGTCCACGGGCCAGCCCGTGCCCAAGAAGTGGGGTGTGATGAACAACGTGCCGGGCTGGTGATGGCGGTGACGGCGGTGGCCGATGGTGTTGGGCGAGTGGTGGCTGGTTTGCTGGCCGCCCGCCCCACCGCCTCCTTGCTCCGTCACCTCTTCGCTTGGTCCGTGCTGACGGGCTTGGCGTTGCTGCTCCTCCCTTTGGGGACTTCCTTTGGGGGTCTGACAGCTTTGGCTTTGGCTTACGGGTTCTGCGCCGGTGCCATCGTTCCGCTCCAGTTCACCGGTGTGGCCGAGGTGGTGGGAGCAGGGCGGTTGCTGCACGCCATCGGCCTCATGCAGATGTTTGAAAGCGTCGGGTCGCTGCTGGGAGCACCTTTTGCTGGTAGGATGGGGGCATCTGGCATGGGGCTGGGGGTGTCGTGGGGTTGGGGGGACCTAGAACCAGTCAAGGAAGGGCACCTAGGAGTGGTTCCTCGCCTGATTTCCCAATACTTGGGGTCAAAAAATGACTCTGCTCATGTGTCATTGAGTCATGGGGTTGGGGGACCTAGAACCAGTCAAGGAAGGGCACCTAGGAGTGGTTCCTCGCCTGATTTCCCAACACTTGGGGTCAAAAAATGACTCTGCTCATGTGTCATTGAGTTTGGTGATCTAGATCCAGTCACTGGGAGAATCCAGGAGTGGTTGTTGGCCAACATTTCCATCATTTTGGGACATAGAATGATGCTATTTAGGTGTCATGGAGTTGGGTGACCTATAACTGGTCATGGAGGGCATGTGGGGCGAGGGGATCCTTGGCCTAACTTCTCATCGTTTTGGGTCAAAACCAACACCATTGATGTTTCATGGGGTTGGACGACCTGGAACTTACCATTGGAAGCACGTAGGAGTGGTTCTTGGCCTGATTTCCCATCACTTGGGGTCATAAAATGACATCATTGGCTTGTCGTGGGATTTGGGTGACCCAGAACCAGTCATGGGGGGGGCACGTGGGGGTGTCTTATTTGGGGGTTCTAGATTCCTCAATGCTCTCTTTCAGGTTGGCTGCGGGACCTGACTGGGGACTTCAAGGTCTCCTTCCTCGCTGCTGGTGCCTTCCTCCTGGCTGGGAGCCTCCTCATCCTCACCCTCCCCAGCTTCTTCCGCACTTCCCAGAGCGATGGCAGTAGCATAGAGGGGGTTCTTGATCCGGTACCTAAAGGCCTTGAGCTCTCTTCAGTTCCTCTCTCACCACCCAATTAAACCAATTAAATCCTCATCTCCCACAAAGCTTGGCCTGGGCTGTGTCTCTCCATCTGTACCCTTGGTGGAGGGGGGAGGGAGGTTTGGTTCTAGGTTACCCAACCAGAACTCATTTGAGATTGCAGCTTTGGGGGTGTGGTTTGAGGTAACTCAACCAGGACACATTTGAGACAGCAGATTTGGGGGTTTGGTTCTAAGCAACCCAGTGAGAACCCATCTGAGACAGCAAATTTGAGGATTTGGTTCTAGGTATCCCAACCAGAACCCATTTGAGACAGCAGATTTGAAGGGGTAGGGGTGGCTCTAGATGACACATTCACTGCCATTTTGGGGGAGGCAAAAAAATGGTTCTTCAACCTTCACCAGGGCTTTATTGGGGTATGGTTCTAGGTCCCCCAACCAGATCCGTTCTAGATACCCCAACAATTGCCTGAGAACAAATAAGGCCATTGCTTTATTTCAATTAATAAAAAGGGGCAGCGCCTGCCCCTGGAGAGAGGGGCTTGACCCTAAACGGGATGGAGCTATAGGGTGGAGTGCTTTGAAGGGGCACGGGTGAGCTTCTCGGGGTTGTCAGAAGCCATGAGGGAGATGTCACGGAAGATGTCGAGGTAGGTGTCATCACCTGGGGAGGGGGGAAGATGAGCGTGGGGAACCTTAAAACAGGGACACCCTCAAAAAACGTCCCCACTAAGGAATCTCAAATACTGGGAGCTCCCACTCTTGGGATTGGCCCAATCTCAAAGCCCCTCCCCACCCTGGAACTCCTATTCCCTTCCTGTAACCCAAGGGTTCCCCCCAAGACTTGGGTTCAAGGATGTCCAATACTTGGGATGACTGAGTCCCAAACCCAAAGTCTGACCTCAAATCCCACAGAAATTCATCCCCAAACCCACAGCTTTGCCTCCACTCACAGAGACCAACTCCAAATCCCAGTGAGTGATGCAAATCACAGAGATTGACCCCAAAACCCAGAGATCCACCCCCAATACCCAAAGATGAACCACAAATCCTAGAGGTCCTAGAGAAACACCCAGAGATTGACCACAAACCCCAGAAATTGATCCCAAAACTCGAGATTCGCTTTCAAACCCACAGATTGACCCCAAAACCCACCGGTCTGCCCCTGGGCCGCGTCCAGCTCTCGCATCTTGGCCAACCGCAGCCTGAAGGGGGGGATGGTGGGGGGTGAAAATCAGTGATAGGAGGAAACAAGGTGGGGGTCACGCACCCCCAACTTGAGGTGCCATCCGCCCACCACCTGTGGGTGCACCCAGTTTGGGGAGGGGGCTCACAGGGTGACGATATCAGCATTGGCCAATTCCATGGCAATGGTGAGGGCGTCCTTCCCTTCTGCATCCACGGCGTTGATGTCAGCACCACGCTTCAGGAAGAGGCACACCAGGCTGCAATGGGGAAGGGGGGCACACGTATGGTAAGGGGACATATATATGCGGGGGGAGGGTGGGCAACAGGGTTGGGACTTAGGGGTGAAGGGTTCTGTTCGGGTATCAAATGGGACAGAATCTACTCTGGGACATGGGGGGGTATTGAAGGACCCCCAAGTAAATGGAGGTCTGCCCAACTAGGGACCCTTCCCCAGAGGAAAAGGGGATACTCCAAAAGTGAATGGGGAATACCCCTCAAAAAATAGGGATCCCCCAAAGGGAAAAGTTGGTCACTCATCCAGGAACAAACCAGGGCAGCCCTCGCTGAGCTTCCCACAGAGGGAACCACACTGGGGGTGAACACCACCATCATCCAAAAAATGAGGACTTGGGGTCACCCATCCACAAATGGAACAGGACAGTCCCTGCTGAGCTTCCAGTGTGGGTGGCATTAGGGATGGGCACCACCACCATCCATCTAAATGGGGGTGTTTGGGGTCACCCATCCTGGAGCAAACCTGGGGGCTCCCACATGGCTGAGTTAGGTGGGACCACAGCCACCTCTCTCCTTTAAACTGGGGATCCCACAGCCGTGGTCACCCACTGAGGAGCAAAACAGTCCCTGCTGAGCTTCCCATCCCACAACCATAGGGGTGACCACGGCCACCATTCATTTAAATGGAGAACTGGGGCTCAACCATCCAGGAGCAGCCTCTACAGCTCCTGCTGAGCTTCCCATCCAGCCACATCAGGGATGGGCACCACCCATAAGATAAGGATGCTGAGCACCCCCCCC